TGACCATATTGGGGGGCCATATACCAAATGTAAGTCGCCAGCTATAAACTAAGTAAAATATCATAATAATAACTGAACTAGTACACAGGACTCCCAGAAACAGAAAATGAACTTTGTCTGCAGATATGGACCATATATGTTTTAAATGATAAACTATTTAATGATTCAAATAGGCATGGAAGTTAGAGTATCAAAATTTGAAAGAAAAGGGTTTGCCGAGGAGATTAAAGGCCATGAAGTAGGGTACAACTACCTACAGGATGGTGATACTGTATCCACAGAAGGGTGTACCCTGCATGCCATACATACACCAGGCCACACTACAGACCATATGGTGCTTTATCTGGAGGAAGAGAATGCTCTATTCTCGGGAGATTGCATCCTTGGGCATGGAACAGCAGTAAGTATAGTCAGCTGAAGTAATTGTTCAAACATTGGAGTTCTTTCGCATTTTAAGGCTAAAAAGACCTTACGATCCATCATAAATAATTATCTGGTCATATGGTTTGGTTTTTCGCAAAGAGAACTCTGAAACAACCTCTAGGCTGATCTAAGTCAGGGCATGGCTAACTCACAGATCAAACCCTGAAACAACCTCTAGGCTGATCTAAGTCAGGGCATAGCTAACTCACAAATCAAACTCTGAAACAACCTCTGGGCTGATCTAGGTCAGGGCATGGCTAACTCACAGATCAAACCCTGAAACAACCTCTGGGCTGATCTAAGTCAGGGCACAGCTAACTCACAGATTGAATTCTTCAACCACATCTGGGCTGATCAATCTATGTCAGGGCACGTACAGCTTACTCATAGAGCATATTGGAATTCAATAGCATTAGGGTCTGCAGAGGAAGGAAAACCTGTGAACCAGTATAGRAAAACTACTCACTTGTGATGCCAAGCACTGCACAGGAATCAAACCTTTGAACACAGAGGTGATAAAATTAACACAGCTACGCCATACTTGCTCTCCATTAAGAATATCAAAGCATGTTTTGCCTATCATTACAGGTATTTGAGGATCTGTATGATTACATGAACTCCTTGAAGATAGTTCTTGGCTTATCACCCAATCTGATCTATCCAGGACATGGGCCTGTAGTAGAGAATGCTACTGACAAGATCAAGGAGTACATAGATCACAGAAACCAAAGAGAACAACAGGTGAGAAAGGACTGACACTGTTTAAGTTGTCTCTCCATGCCTGTATTGGTAATAGTAACTATCAGCGCCCCTAACCAGCTGTTGACCGACTGTCGAGCAACTGTCAACAATCAGTCGAGCAACTGTCRACTGATTGTTGATTGTTTAGCAACCATTTGTTGGACTTGTTGACCATTCAGTGACATATCATTATTAATAATAATAATAACAATAATAATAATAATATTAATGAAAACTTTATTTTGATGCTTTTTGTTTTACCATTGCAAATCTCGCTGGAAACTAGGTAATTTACAATCGGCTACTTGAATTAAAAACAATTTCAGTTTTACATGAAATGAAAGGCTTATAGCTCAAGATATGTACTTGGATACATACAAGAAGATGAAAAAAAAACCGATAATAGTAAAAAATGAAAATGAAATGAAATGAAAATACTAAAAATTCATTAAATCGGGATTTTCAATAATAATAATAATAATAATGATAATAATAATAAAAGTGCATTTATATTGCGCATATCCAAATGAATGCTCTATGTGCTATGTCATATCAATAATAATCACAAAATAACTGAAGATAAATAACTAAAAATCAAAATAGTTTTTAAACAGGTGAGTTTTAAGTTGAGACTTGAATTCAAGGACAGTTTGACAGGATCTTAAAGATAAAAGTAGAGAGTTCCAGAATTCAGGTGCAGCAAAATCATGCCTCACAAAAGTGTTGGAGTTATCTCTTACTTTTGGTTTGGTTTTCAGATTCTTGAAACTTTAAAGAAAGAAGAAGGATCATCTCCAATGACAGCAATGGAACTTGTCAAAAATATATATACAGTAAGATAATGATTAGAGCTTGTTGGATATAGAATTTCGGATAGAGATACGTAGGAATGTGAGGAATGTTTGGCAAGGGTGGTACGTGTAGCAGTAAAAGTTTTCTTTCACCAATGAGAGTGTTTTTACTGACAATGAGGAAGCCAATTTACAATAATTATTTGGTTGTCGACCAACAGGACACCCCATGGCACTTACACAAAGCTGCTGAAAATAACGTCAAGCATCATTTGACAAAACTTCACAAAGAAAACAAAATTAGTAAGTATAGACAAGTGTAGTTGACGGACACGTCGGCTTGGCTAGTACTACAGCTAAAGCTAGCCATGTAGAGCTAGTCATTGGCATATCACTGAAACTTGCCTTAGATGGACTGATTGACAAACAAACAATGGAGTGACAAGCAGACTTAATGTGTACTTTGAATGAAAGACTGAATGAATGAGTGACTGACTGACCCTGGAAATGAATGAATAAATACTGAGTGGATAAATGACCAAATGACTGATGGTCTGACCAAATGACTGATGGTYTGACTAAATGAATGATGGTCCRTAGTTAGATCTTATTAACCGAGCGGGAGGTCTGTACGGGATAATCTTGACCGAGGTCGGAATGTACAGACCGAGCGCAGCGAGCAAGCTCGGTTGATAAGAGTTTTATTATATGACCACTTTTCATTGAATAGGACAAAATGTTTTCGCTGTAAGATTAATATGCGATCGGACCGGTTAATACCGGAGAATCTAGACCAGTCCGCGATGCGAACTATCCAATCAGATTGCTCAATTTGCTAGTGTCCAGGCTCKAAGATTCAYGGTCATATAATAAAAATGAATAATGGCCTGATGAAACGAACAACTGTCAGACATACTGATTGTGTTATGGAGTAGCCTAACTGATTATGAATGGAATGATTAATTGACTAATGAATTCACTTTTTCGGTAGAAGGCTGAAACAGTCAGTTTCAAAAACAGAATTTTTAGATCTCGCAACTTGCCAATAATAGATAATTTTCTAATCAATTAACATCTTAATAGCAAAAGATTCTAACATTTTGTTTTAAAGCTTTTTGTTTTTTCCCTTTTTCTTTGTTGACCAGATTTGCAGGATTTGAATGACTTCATTATTATATTTTGTTTACAGCTTCTGTACCTTTTGGAGATGATGTCAAATGGAAAAGCTCTTTATAGTCTCACAAGCAAAAAAAAAGATGAGTTATAGAATAGACCAAAGGGCCATTTATACAGGAAAAATAAGACATGTCCTAAATAAGAGGTGAACTGATTCTTTTTTAAGAGCGTGTRTCTACATTAGATACAAACATTATGTATAAACAGTTTGTGTCTTATTTGGGCTGAAGTCACGACAAAAAATCAGTCTGTGTGGGCTCCTTGACCTGTGAAGTTGCACATAAGCATCTAAGTTAAGATGCAAGTGCCATTCATATGAACGTGTTTGCATCATATTTAATATCCAGCTTAACTTAGAACAGCTCTTAACCCTGTTCTTGAAAAAGAATTTTATCCAAAAATTAATAAGACATGAACGTGAATTATACAATAGATGGTGTGTTATGTAATGGAAGACGAGAAGAATGTCATTTTTTTCCCATATAAAAGGCTCTAAATTAATAAGACTCAACAGTGCACAGCGTCAGGGGAGGTACAATATGTGGTGATAATGCCTCATGTATGATGCATGCACGTCATTTCTCAATTGGTTTTATTCCTGAGTAAACAAGATTTGAAGCAAATGATTTGAACTCTGACTGAACAAGGAATTTTAAGCAATAGTCAAAATACTGTCTGGTTTATAGCACATGACGGGCAGTGTTTGCTGTCATCGTAGGCTGGTAATAAGATTAATGAGATTCATTCAGCTGATTGATACCAAGCAATAGAATACTCTCTGGTTGATAGCACATGACAGGCAGTGTTTGTCTGTCATTGTAGGCTGGTAATGAGATTCACGAGATTCATTCAGCTGATTAATACCAAGCAATAGAATACTCTCTGGTTGATAGCACATGA